CCTCTTTGCTTCAGGTTGGTCTCAGCCTGGAGAATCTGAACCTGCATCTCCTTTTGTCTCTGCCTCTTTCAGTGTTCTTCTTCCTTCTTTAGAATGGGGCTTCATTCACTGTGATCTGTCATAGCTTTGCTACAGTTGGGAGGAGGAAACATTTAGAGCTGTATTGTATAGACTTCCTGTTGGGAGGGGGCTTCCTGTGTCCAAAGGAGTTTCCTTGTTCAGCAGATATTTTTGAAGAGGTTTTGCAACAGTTATGCAAGTATAAAAAGCTTCTCAGATGGCTCTTCCTTCTGTGTCATGCCGGAACCCTTATCCAAGAATGTAAGGAGGGTGGTGGGGCGTTTAAGGCCATAGCTAGAGGAGTCACGGTCTTGCATTGTATGAGAGGGGACCGAGGGGGCTGGGCAGGCAGTGACTCTCTCAGTGTGCTATGTTACAAATTCAGCCTTCTCACCTCTCAGCTTCGTTGGTGAGCACACGCAACACCCAATAGCTCAGCTGGAAACTTTCCAGCTTATGTGTCCTCCAAATCTGGCATTTGACCAAGAGAGTAATATCCTGGGTGAGTGGCAGCCCTGGATGCCATTTAGACCTTGAGGTTGTGAAATGCTAGCGGAAGGAAACCAATCTTAGCCTGTACATTACATCTCTCTGATACATGTGTGGGGATCCAAGAATAATAAACTCTGCTGGAAAAAATGTGGGATGACTGGAGATTTTATACACTGTTGGTGGTCCTGCCCCTCATCTCAACAGTTCTGGACACAAATTTTACAACAAATCCACAAAATCACAGGATATAACTTACCTTTCCTACCTGAAACAGTCTTGCTGGATGTCATCCCGGATACCTGCAAAAGGAAAGATACAAAAACACTAATAGCAACGTTATTAGCAATTGCACGAATCACTCTAGCCCAGTATTGGAAGAACAAAAACCAACCCACCCTACAATGTTGGGAAAATAAAATCTGGGAACACTTTGTATATGGCAAAATAGTCTCTCTCCAGAACTTCTTTTCAAGCAATTTGGTTCCCAGCAGTGAACTATTTCGTAGAAGAAGAAGTTATTCCTAATAATGAATACTATAAAGATCTGTTATACTTCTAAAGGGTCATTGAAGGTTAAGAAAAGACAATTAATGCACGATGTAAACATGTGTTATAAATGTTGTACTGTTGTATATAAAGTTCAAAAATAAAAAATACTTATTTGGGGGGGGAATACATGTGTGGGCGGGGACAAAGGGAGTGTCTGAAATCTGAGGTGGACGAGTGAATATAGGTGTATCAAAGAAGATGGAAAGTACCAGATCTGCTACAATGTCAGTCTGGTCCCATCCCAACCTTGGGCTTTTAGCTGGGCTTAGACTGGGCATTAAAGTGACCTGAGATGTATTCCAAGGTGGCTTTACACGAGTGGTCTGTTGGGGCTAGCCTACACAGAACTGGAGATACAGACATGTTTGGAAATACAGACATATAATGTTTGGTTAAGAGTGTCAGACTAGTATCATGGAGACTCACGCATTCTCAGTCTAACCTTCCTCACAGGATTGTTGTGAGAATAAAACAGAGCAGAGGAGAAAGACGTAAGCTGCTTTGGGTCCCCATTGGGGAGAAATAATGCAATCCAACAGCATGAGACGTTTAAGCAATGTAATAGGACCAGAATTACAAATTACAGTGCAAATATATATATATGATCATTTTTGCACTGTAATTTGTAATTCTGGTCCTGTTACATTGCTTAAACGTCTCATGCTGTTGGATTGCATTATTTTTACACCATGCTATCCACCAGAGATGGACTATAAATAAAGTTTATGCGGCTGTGAGGAAGGCAGATTGCATTCAGGGCCACAGAGGTGGGGAGGAGTTAGCCTGTTCCCCCAACATGCATTTCTTCCCTGATCACAAATGGCCTACTAGGGATGCCAGCCTCCTAGTGGGACCTGGGATCCCCAATTACAGCTCATCTCTAGACTAGATAGGTCAATTTCCCTGGAGAAAATGGATGCATTGGAGGGTAGACGCGATGGCATTGTACCCCACCGAGGTCCCTGTCTTCTCCAGGCTCCATCCCCAAATCTCCAGGAGCTTCCCAACCTGGATCTGGCAACCCTACCCCTGCATGCCTGGCTGGTGGCAAAGGAGGACGTGGCAACCCTACCTCTACCACCTAGGCTGCTTTGAGGCCCAGTAGGGAAAAGTCAGAGCTTGTGAAGAGTTAAACCTGTCCATCCTGAGTGCTGTGGGCCTGATCCAAATGGGGTGGTGGTGTCCATAGCTGCTTTTTAAGGACAAATAACACATTGTGTATGCTTTGGACTCTAGTGTCCTAAGCTGAGGTCATGTTACATGCGAAAGGAAGCTTGGCAACATAAGGGGCAGAGGCAGACACAGCTATAATTAGCTTCATTCTTTTACATGAGGGTGGGGAGAGGGGACGTGTGAAATGCTTATCTAGTACTTCTGTTTGTGGTCCTTGTTGTTGCAAGCGTTTGGAGTAGCTTTAACATATTGTTAGCAGTGACTTTAGTTCCCATCTCTCTCCGTGACTTAGATATGTAGAAGAGAAACTCTCTACAATGGGAATATCCCCAGATTATTTAGACCCCTTTCAGATAAACAAGCCTAGGCTATCATTAAACAAAGATTTCTCGACATCGAAAGGCAAGAACTTACGGAACGTGGAGCAGCCAGTAGAGCTCCCCAAGTAGGCTGGGGTCTTTTGACACGGGCTCTACTGTAAAATATCTCTTTAGTTTAATAGCCCCACATCATCGCAGAGCATACATGTTTGCACGCTTTAATGTTCTGCCATCGTAGGTGCTTTTAGGGAGGTACCGCCAGATACCATACGTAGACAGACTTTGTCCTTGTTATCTAAAAGATATAGAATCCACTACACACAGCATACTTCATTGCCCCCTTTATAGAGACATTCGATCCCATTTTATTACTCCATTTCTAGAGGGTAAGAGCTGGCACTCTGATGACACAATTGTTCACTTTCTTCTGTAAGTGAGTGATGCATCTTAGTATTTTGCTGTATCTCCATGATGTTTTGTGCTTTCAATGCCAATAAAGGGGTGTTTTTTTGTGTGTGTGTGACTTTAGTTGTTGTTGTTCATGATAAATTATACCAGTCTTTAATGATAAGGAATCAACAAGTGGAAACAAATTTATATATGGGGGAAATCAAGGGGAGGTGTGAGCTGTAGATGGATGCAAAACCCAATGCTCATTTTCTGCACTAAGGGAAACGTGTGCTCTCCCACCACAAACATATCTTGGCCCTTAACAATAAGGACTGAGCTGTGGGATGGTGTGCAGCCATTTTCTTCCACCTCCTCAAGAATGCTGCTCTGCTGCTCATTACATGGAGGGATGAGGCTATAATGCTGGCCTTGTTAGGACCGATGTGGAAGCATGTTGTAGAGACAACCCCACCACAATGTGATATGCATCTACCTGCATAAATAGAACCTTTAAGGTAGGGGTCCTCAACCTTTTTGAGGCACCTTTGGAATTTTGATAAGGAGTGGTGAGCACCACCCCAAAATGGTTTCGTGGGAGGTGGAGACAAAATGGCTGTCTCAGGAGGTGGAGCCAAATGGAATATTTCCCTCCTCACACCTCCTGGGAAGAAGGAAATCCTGAAGAGGGAAGGGAACCACACAGATTTAATGAAAGCCCAGGTGCTTACCAGTCCTCCTCATCCTTCAGTGGAAAATCCTTTCATTTGAATCAGGGTGGCCAATAACAGGCCCTGCTTTATACTGGCCTGAAAGCCTTGGCATGTGCCAAGGGAAATACTGGCAGGTGCCATGGTCCCCACTGGCATCATGTTGGGGAACCCTGCTTTAAGATGACTCTTTCAGGGTGGCAAAGTAAGAGGTGTGCAGGTCTGACCTGGCAGCAGGAAGTTCTAGTGTACGCAGCAGTTTGCTTCATGGTCATAAAAACGCCTTACGTCTCTTTTTGAGGCAGAGATCATAAACTGCATTGCAGCACCTGTTTACCTATGCGCTGTGAGGGCAGTGAACAATTAAAAGAGATTAAAAATCAACTATTAAAACTATACACCTATATAAAACTGGCAATTAAAAATGAACAAGAAGGAGGCTTCACTCCTTCACTCACTGGTGGACAGTGGATAGATAAATTTCCCTGGGGTTTTCAGTTCCTAGACCCCTACTGAGTAGCTAGTTTTCAGTTATCTGAAATCAGCTGTGGTTGATGTTGAACTAAGGTCATGCTGGCAATGCACCAAGGCTGTATTGTGACATGACCAACCAACTAAATCTTCATATGTGACTAGATTGAATTAAACATGTCCCGGTCTTTGTATGAAGAGAATGAAACATGCAGGACGTATGGGAGAATCCTCAAAGCATAATTCTAAACCACCTTTAAATTATATTCCGACACATCCTGAATTTGGGCACTGTCAATCAGTAAATTATGGGATAATCACCCCCTGCCTCCCCCCGTGAATTTTCAATACCATACATTTTCTTCTGGTTCATGGTAGTTAATGGTGTTTTTATTTGATACTTTGAGAAACAGTAGTTAAAGAGTCAGAACTGGCATGACCCAAGTTCAAATCCACGTTCTGCCACTGAGGCCATTGTGTGGTCTTGGGCCAGACATACATTCTCAGCTCAAAAGGGGTGTTGTGAGGATATAATGGAGGTTGGTGCTATCTTGAGTTCCTCGGAGGAAGGGCAGGATAAGATAGGGAGTTCCAGTGTGGTCTTTCCAGCTAGATTTTTCTTAAAATTGTAAAATTGGATTTTTTGCTTCCCCCCCAGCTTGCAACTACTGTGTTAATACCATTTGGAGTTTCGGCCTCAAGACACCAAAACATCTGGTGCAATCATAGCACTGGCTGAAAAGTATGGAGTATTGCATCTTCTAGGAAGGTTTTTGTTCATTTTTTCCCCACTTCATGCTATCCAAATTATTCTTAACAAACATTCTTAATTTGATAGAGCTTCCAGAAAACTGGACAGACACCAGAGAAACCCTGCTGGAGGGCATGCACTTCAACCTGAAGTACCTAGGTATGACGCTGGTCGAGCAACCCAAAGGAGAAGACTTATCGGCTGCTGCTGTCAAAAGAATTGTTGCAACGGTGAGCCCCATGGTCTCGCTTTAATGGTAGTTCCTGGCTTCCTATGGGAAAAGACATGTCCTTTGTTGTCTGCAGGTGAAACCCCCCCCCCCATTGTTGTATTTTGATAGGTGGGAGGGTTGCCAGCAGGAGGGGCATGCAACATTGCTGATATCACTATGATACTTCTGGAGAAAACCTGGGTATAATCTGAGGTCGCTCTAGGAATTCCCATAAACTCTATGGTTTTACTGTAGAGTTTCCAGCAATGCCTAGTTACCCTATGTTGCTTCTGTGTTTTTTCCTGAAAGTGACGTAGCAATGTCCCTGTTGCTCTTTTCTAAATTTTTCTCCAGCGGTGAGCAAAGAGGGCTGCAAACGGGAGGCCCGGCAGCCCTTTCCACAGGTAGAAGAACATGTGCAGCCTCCGTAACCCTGCCATGTAAATCCAGAGTGGTGCTGTGAAACCTGAGTGTATGATTCAGTCTCCCACCCAGTCTCAGGTAGTTTTGAAAATTGTGGGTGGAATAGGAAACATGAGTGAGTCTCACTTCCTCTTTTCATTCCCCTTTGTCCTGTCTTAAAGGGGGGCTTGTTAATAGATCAAGGGGGAAGATTGCCTTTCTAAAAAGGTGTCACGTCAAGGTCAGCTAGTGTGGCTGGCTTTTGCAGTGTATGCAGAAGAGATACCCCAGGAGATCTTTCTGTCTGACTAGAAGCCATATGGGAAGTCCTTTCTGTTGCAGTGTTCTCACGGCCCAAACCAATCACATTTGTATCCCCTGTTTCTCTAAGCAGCTAAGGGAGGCATATGTGGTTCTCTTTTCCTCCAGTTTATCCTCACAACAACACCGTTTGGTAGTAGATCATTCTAAGAGAGCATGGTTGGCCCAATATTGTTTGTGGAGGCTGGTCCTACTGAGTCCTCTAGGGCTTGCTGTCTGAGAAATGAAGCCTTAATGTGAAATACAGTATTTACTCAAATGCAAGACTAGGTTTTTTTTCAAAGATATATGATGAAAAAAGAAAGGGTAATTTTATATTCACATACAAGTGATACTTATGCCCCATAATAATTTTTTTTTTGTGTATTACAATTTGAAAGGGTTGCCTTATATTCAGGGTTGTCTTCCTTTTGAATAAATATGGTAGTTATATCTTGAAAGGTACCCATTTGGATTAAGACTATGTGCTTAGCTAATTGAAGACCTTGTAGGAGAAACATCGTCTGCCTTTTTATTGATTTTAAACATGTGCTTCTTACTAAATCTTTAGCGTTTGTGTGTGTGTGTGTGTGTGTGTGTGTGTGTTAAAGATAGTATGCAGTTTGATAAACGAAGGCTGTCATTTGCTTTTGGAAGGGTTAGCCATCTTTAATAATCATTGACTAACCTCTCAATACCTGCAATAGGACTGAGTTGAACCATTTTGCATTGGCAGTCACACATCCCCTGCAGTGGGCCGTATCTCTTCACAATCATAATTTGGCTGCAGCACTGGTACAATTTTTAAACAAAAAAAAAATCTGTTTCCTCTTCCTGGAAGCACTGAAATTACCATGTGACCAGTGAGATTTATTCTGTGTGAGCTTCAGATTTCTGTGATAGTGCAGGAAAAAGAAGGCTGACTTGAAAAAATTGAAAAAGAAGAGAGCGCTAATAAGAGAGCCAATTGGCCTGGTGAATGCTGGTGAACTGCTGCAGAGCAATAGCAGGCTCTGGAGAAAGATTCTAGAGACACCGTGGTCCTCCCAAAGAAAAACATCTCTTTGCCAAATGCATTCATCCATCGCAAGTTTGTGTTGCAGCTCTAATTAAAACTGTAATCTAGTTTCTCAGCTGAAATTATTTTTTATATTTCATTGGGATTTTGGGGGGCCACCCTGTTTCTGGAGAGGCTTGTATAGCTTCATCACAGCACTGAGGTCAAAGTCTTGGTAATCCATTTAACATATTTTCTGTTCTAAACCTTACCCTTCCTTTGCTTTACAGAACACTCAACTGGATTAACATCCAGTGGGCATGCAGTGAAGTTATTATTAGGCTTTTTACTCTGAACGCTTAAACCCGAAGAAGAGTCCTGTGTAATTTGAAAGTTCGCTTCCAGTATTGTATTTATGGCCCACTTTGTTCCTTTTGTGATCCAGCTATGCTCTGTAAGTCACGACAAGAGCACTAAAAAAAGTCACTCCAGTAACATAAAAGTCCCATTAAGAAATCAGTTCATAAAATGGAATGCACTGCATAAAATACATGCCGTGTCTGCCATTATAGGAAATAAGGGAACATGAAATGATCATGGTATATAACAAGTTGCTAAACACTTGCTTGAATCGAAGGACATTCGCGTCTCCTAAAAATCTGTGAGGTTATATTTCAACAAGTCTCCCTTGGCAGGGGATCTGGGGCACAAACAGCAAAAAGGTATACCCCCAGTTGTCATCGATCACCTCAGTGGGCGGGGGCGGGGGCTTTAAAAATGTTAATTCAATAAAATTTTCTGCGTTTTCTTTTTGTTTGTTTTTGTTTCACTTTGCGGGATCAAATAAGTACTCTGCCTTGTAATGAATCTGAATGTTTTATTTGCCTCCGGTTTCAAACCCTTTAGCTTTTTCGCTGTCATGCAAACTTAGCCTGTGATCATGATGAAGACTAGCAATTTGTTTCATGGGCCAGGGGCCGGGGCCGGGGGACAAAGCTGACATTTTAATTCACACATTTGGGGCCATACGAATTATCCGAGAGACTGCATGCTACCCACTCCTGTGTTAAATTCGACACTGTGACTTTTCCAAGCTCTGTAGGTGACCATGGTATAAAACGACCCTACTTTTGCAAAGCCAGAGGCCGTAGGTTCTAAAATGGAGGATATCACTTGCAGGCAAAGTCGTGACTACCTTTAAAGAGCACTGTTCTGTAATAACATCATATTGTTTGAGAAACATGACCTTTCAGCTGAGGAGAGCTCTCCAAAATACCCCTTCTCCTTAGGAATAAGGCGACATCACTGTTAACCTCTGGTATAGTTAAAAAAAACCATTTTAATGCACTTCAGTTCAGCCTTTCTACCCAGTTTGGGTCCACAAGGTGGCTTCCAATGAAAAAAATGCCCAAACGAAGCCAAAGCAAAAAATTCTAGGGAAGCCATTGTGCTCTCGAACTGGTGGAGTAAAGTCTGTCATATACTCAGCTAACGTGGGCCTAGCAGACAGTCACTTTCTGAGCTGACTTATCTGCCTTTCTCAGGCAGTCTTCCTAAACACCTGGATGCTAAACACCTTTTCTCTGTCCTAAGGCAAAAGCCAGCGGGAAGAAACTCCAGAAGATCACCTTGAAAGTGTCTCCCAGAGGGATAATCCTCAGTGACAGCATAACGAATGAGCCAATTGAAAACATCTCAATATACAGGTGTGTGACGGGTAGTTTTTAAGGATGCAAAGCAAATTTGGGACAAATAGACAAATCTCTCTAAACAGATAATCTTCTTAATAAATGGGAAATATGTTGATTTCTGTGGCCTTTGGAGAACACAGAATCACTGTTCATTCTGTTAGGCCTGGTCTACCCATTTGGCTGGCCTGTGCCACTTCTGACTGCAGTTGGAGGGAGGGGGAATCACATAGTGTTAAACTCCTTGTTAATGAATAAAAACAAACATCCCTGTACAAAGAGTATCTCTACTGCACCAGGGGAATGTTCAAACCTAGTTTTCTCCCTATCTTGCTGGTCTATAGTATGTAGGGATTTCCCTCCACCCATGGTGAATGAACATACAATCCTTCACCTACAGCCTGTGGTGGTACAGTTCAAGAGCAGGTTTACTGTGCAATGAAACCTCATTTGTCTAGACTGAGTTTGAGAGTTCAGGCAAGACATCACTGATATACTTGTCAGTCTTGAGGTGGCTTTAGGGGTGTGCAAAACGTCCCCCAGTTCGGGTATATTGGGTTCGGGTATATTGAACCCGAAAAATATCAGTATTCCCTAATATTCCCAAATCTCAGTACTGGTATGGTATTTGAATTTGGTAAATATTCGAGATTGCTGAGTTTTTCCAGCTCCATTATTCCGTATGGAGACCATTATAGTCAATAGTTCCTATAGTGTATAATGGAGAATTGACCCAGGGGTGTCTGGGGCTCTGTGGGGGCTGTCTTTTGAGGTAATGGCACCAAATTTGCAGCATAGCTGGTGCTTCTCAACCCCCCAAGAAAAGATTGGACCAGGAGGTCTAATTCTGTGGGCCCCAGAAGAAGGTACTCCCATCCTGTATTGTTTTCAGTGAGGGGAAAAGGGCATTTAAAGGGAATGCAGTCCCTTCAAATGTCTTTTGCAAGCTCTGAACCCCAAAAACATTTAAAGGGACTGTAATCCCTTTAAACACTCTTTAACTCTAGCTATCTGGAAGCCTGAAAAATCCCGAATATTTTTGGGATTTTTTCGAGCTCAGCTGTATCAAATAACTGGATAAATACTCCAGCTGATATCCGGCTAAGAAAATACCCGAAAAATACCAGTAGGGCGTTTTTTGGGACTTTTTCAGGCTCAGATGAACTGAATGCACACTCCTATGTGACTTTTTAATAGCATGTAGCACTATTACTAAAGTAACCAAGAGTTGCTGGAAATCCATATTTTTCTTCTTTTTAAAAAGAGGACATTTAAAAAAAAAAACATTTCCCCATATTAAGTAGCTGTAAATTTTTCTCTGAAGGGTAAATATCTCCAAAGGAGCTATTTGCTTTGGGGAAAAATAAGTTTTCCCAAATTGCATTGGGAAAAACAATGTGCTCTGGGGAAGGATTTATTCTGCCCTTATGTGGTGGTCCTAAACAGAATCAGGCTCTTATGACTGCTTTAAAACAAAAAAACCCTACAGAGTTCCTGGTTGCAGATCTCTTGTGTTGTTTCTCCCTAAGTAGGAGTTGGCTTAAGAGGTAAGCCCTTCAAAACACATCCCCCTTCAAAAGAGATTGAGAAGACTGCTCCATTCTGAGAATCTTGTTTCATCAAAGCGCCCATGAAACTTTCCCTTCCCATTGACTTGGTGGTGGGGTTTTTTTTGTTTTCAAAATAAACCTCCGCCTCCGCCAATTCAGTCAAGTCAAAATGGTGCATCTTGGGGTGGCTGAGGACATCTGCTGGTGAGAATTTGCATTCTAAACCAAAACTATGGCTAAACAATTAACCTGAGGCACTTCTGCAATACAGGTGGGAAGTTTTCGTTTTCCTGAAGAGCTTGCATTAACTTTATTGCATCCTCACATGCAGCATGCTAGAATGTGTTCCTGATCTAACCTTCTTCCTGTCTGTTGATCCTTATACTGTTGTTCAGCTGGAAACCTCTACAGCAGCTTTTTACAATTAAAGAGCCAGAGTACATCAAAATGCAGAGCAAGGAATCAGCAAAAAAGCCAGTACAAGAATGCTCATTTGCATTACTGAAAATATACAACCTGACATTATTGCAAATGGATGTGTGAGTAATAATCCACAAAGTTTCCACTGGCCTAACACTGGTTGTTGTGAGTCCTTTATTTGTACAAGGTCTCACAATGAGTAAGAAATACACACAGGAGTACCGCACATGATAGTTTTATGTATTTATTTAAAATATTTATAAGCCCACCTTTCTCCTGAGCATCTTGGGATCCAAGGCCAGTAACAGAAATGTAAAGACAGGTTTATCAATCAGATAGAACAGCATTAAAGGAAATCTAAAAATACTAGCTACTTGCCCGCCAGCAGATATTCCCCTTTTGCCCAAACTCAAGACACCTCCAAATTTGTAGCCTCACTACAAAGTCAGGAGGGTCAGAGCCCATCTGGCCACTTCTGGGAGGCTCTTCCAAAGGGATGGGGCAGCCAATGGAAAGTCCAGACTGTTGGCCAAGATGCTTTAGTCGAAGGGAGGGGGAGTACTGATAGGTCCTGCTGGGAAGAACAAAACTTCCACACAGAATCATGCAGGGAGAGGTGGTCCTTCAGGCATGGGAACCCCACATCAAGAAGGGCTTTAAAGGGTAATCACCAGCACCTTGAGTTGGACCCAGGAACTAATCGACAGTCAGTGAAGGGACCTCAGAATAGGAGTAACATGGCCCCACCGTAGGGTTGCCACTTCTAGGTTGGAGAATTCCTGGAGATTTCGGGGGACGAGCTTGGGGAGGGCAAGCTTTGGGCATGGGAGCAGGGTTGTCAGGTTCCTCCCTCTTGGCAACTGCCAGGAGATGGAAGGGTGACTTGCCAGGAGCAGGATGGAGGCCCAGGCAATGTCATTGCCAATGTGGCTGTGGAAGTGATATCATCATGCTGCATCATCGCAGCAACACTCTGGTACTTGGGCAAAAACCCTTTGGTAAAATGGCTTCTACACTAATCAACAGTCAGTGAAGGGACCTCAGAATAGGAGTAACATTGCCCCACCGTAGGGTTGCCACTTCTAAGTTGGAGAATTCCTGGAGATTTCGGGGGTAGAGCCTGGGGAGGGCAAGCTTTGGTCATGGGAGCAGGGTTGTCAGGTCCTTCCCTCTTGGCAACTGCCAGGGGATGGAAGGGTGACTTACCAGGAGCAGGAGGGAGGCCCAGGCAGTGTCATTGCCAATGTGGCTATGGAAGTGATATCATCATGCTGCAACAACGCAGCAACACTCTGATATTTGGGCAAAAACCCTTTGGTAAAATGGCTTCTGCCATAGAGTTTGTACCCAAATACGAGAGTGTCAGCCAGACATCGCCAGCGTGATGACATCACTTCCTGTGCATGCTGGAAGTGACATTGCGGTGTCAGTGGTGACGATGCCTAGACCTTCCTCTTTTTCCCGGTAAGTCCCCCAGCTGGCCAGCTGATCAGCAACAGGGGACGGGGCCTGGTGGTGGGGATCCCTGACTCCACTGGGGGGGCTGGCAACCCTACATGGGAGGGACCTCAGCAGGGTATAATGCTGCAAGAGTCCACCCTCCAGAGCAGCCATTTTCTTCAGAGCATCTGATCTCTGTGGTCTGTAGATCATCTGTAATTCCAAGAGATCTCCAGGCCTCACCTGATGGCTGGCAATCCTACGTCACCAGCTAATCCTAGATAACAAACGGGCTGCTGCATTTTGACCAGCTGCAGTTTCCAGATCATTGTTTAGTGCTTTGGCATAAATTTGCTCTGACAACTTGGAATCTCTGACAACTGTCCACTTCTCTCTTTTCCCTTTCTTGTGAAGCATCTCTGGGAAGCCCTTTATTTCTTACACCGAGGAAACTGGCTGTGCTAAAAATATGCAATGCAAATCCGTGAGATAAGTGTGATGGCTGTTGCAGATTCATTTGCATTGATCTTTTTCTGCTCCTGCCTGCGAAATCTGGAACTGCTTTAGCAAGGGCAGGAATCCGGGCAGGAGAAGGAGCTGCGTCAACATCCATTCGGGGAACCAGCCTCACAAGCTGTGAGCGACGGGAGCTTTAGGGCTAATTGGCAGGAGGTTTGTAGCTTTCCAAAGGAGGATTTCTTTCTTGCAGTATTTAATTAACTTAGGAAATTCATTGCTCCCTTTTATGGTTTTAAAACAAAATTAGAAACATACATAGTTAAAGTTGATGGGAGAGGATAATTTAAAAATTAAAAATAGTGTTCCAGACACACTACAAAAACACAGTTAAAAGGGGGGGGGATCATAGTATAAAATAAGGTTTAAAATGGTACTTCTATTTGACTGACCCCAAATGGGGGGGTGGGTGCATTTTGCAGCTGCCCCCAGTTAAAAAAAAATCCCTCCCCTCTCCTTGGTAATTGTTTTGTATCCCTTTGAGAATTGGTACAAACCCACTGGCAAGGAGGTGGTATGTGAATCCAGCTAAGGAAGTGTTTGGAAGAGTGAATCAGAGAGTTCTTTGAGGTCCCTTTTGAACTCTCCCCCCCCCCCGCCCGTCCCCCG